CCTGTTTCAAGTGGGTATTGTTGCAAAAGATAGTTGTTACATATGCCTAAAAATGAAATTTTGGGTGATTTGGTGCAATTTTAAGGTGTTTTTGGATGAATCTTATGCTTGGATTTATGGAAGATGACAAAATTTAGTTTCATATGATAATTTATAGTATATTATTGTATATGAGTGTATAGACACCTTTACGATTTTGCATAATATTGTATTCGAGTGTATAACATTGTATATCAAACTTTCAAACATTTTTTGTATAAAATAAAATATGAAATATAGTTGTATATCAGATGTATAATATTGTATACCAATTTGTATTTTGAGCTAGAGATATGTAATGTAAGTTTTAATCTATATTTTTGCAATATAAAATAGGTAATTGTATATTTCTGAATTTTCTCGATACTTAATTAATGAGGAGAGAGGAAATTAATGTGCGTGCAAAACCAAATCATATCTCATATGTCCATAAAGAATGTTTGAAGTCTTTTGATATATTATTCACTCAAAATGATTTACGTTTGTGGTAAGCCACCAAATTTTAACATTAAGCTTTGAAAAAAATTAAGTTGCTAATGAAATTTTTTAATCCCGATCAACTCAAAATCTCTTCTATGCAATCTAAAATCTAGATATGAATCTCTCTCGATGTTTCAATTTTTTTTTTTATATATAAATTACTCGAAAATGATTCACATTTATGGAACACCAAATATTAAAGTCAAGGTTTGAAGAATCTTTAGACATAGAAGAAGAAAAAGGAAGGAAGGAAAGAAGAAGGAAGAATAAAGGGAAAACAATAGCCGCAAAATGCACTTTGTTGGTAATTAAAAGTGGCTGAATAGCCATTTTAAGTATTTAATGATACTTGAGTTATTTTGAGAAGGAAATTTAACCCAATGAAAAATTTGTCTAATTTTCTCTAATATGATAAACAAAAAATAGCGAAAAATTATATAAATACATAACATAAGATATCATAAACTCTAAAATTCTCTCTCATTTTAAAAAATAAAATAAAAATCCTCTCTTGAATACATCCATGTCCCCTCTCGAATACATCCATATCCCCTCTTGGATACATCCATATCTCCTTTTCGATACATCTCTATCTCCGATCTTGGATACATCTCACCCCTTTCAGATATATCTCTATCCCCTCTCGGATACATTCCTCCCATTAAGTAATGTATCAGACAACCAATGAATGTATACAAGAGCAATGAAAAATCTGAAATTTTTGTAATTGAAAAAACTTTTGAAATATAACGTAATTAACCCCCAAATGTATGAGATTTCTGTAAAATGCCCAAAAATAGCAATAGTTGAATAATAAAGAAGGTAAAGCTCTGTTTGTAGGTTCTCTTGGTTGGGCCTGATTCTTTGGACCTGGTCCAATAGATCATATATATATATATATCTCTTTTGATTTATAAGTTTTTGGCCCTTTAGGCCTGTTGATCTCAATTAAAAAAAAAAAGAAAAAAAAAAAGAAGGTATCTCAAATATGTTAAGAGATGGTAAATATTTATTTGTATTAAGGGGTCGTTTGATAGAGTGTATTAGTAAAAACAATACATGCATTAGCTCTGTGTATTAGTAGTCCCTGCTTTGGAACACTTTTTCATGCTATGTATAACTAATGCACTCTATTGTAAGTCTGGCAACGGAACCGGTAACGGAACTACCAGACAGTCACTGACCGGAACCGGCCCTGAACCGGCATCCTTCGTGGGGAAAAAGACCGGAACTGGGACGGACCGGTATCGGTAGTTTCGGAAATTTTAAGGGTTTCGTCCCGGACCGGTACAGTACCGGGATCAGATCGGACTGGTAACCGGGACTAACGACTCTATTTTCTTTTTAAAAAATTAATTAATTATTAAAATTAAAAAAATTATGATTTACAAAATATTTCTTTTAAAAGTCTAATTTTAAGAGTTTAAATTTCAATCTTTAAAAGTTTAAATTTCAAACTTTAAAAGTTTAAAGTTTATATTTTAAACTTTAAAAGTTTAAAACTATAAAAGTTTATATTTTAAACTTTAAAAGTTTAAAACTATAAAAGTTTATATTTTAAATTTTAATTTTAATTTTTTTTTAAAATTTCAAACTATAACTTAAGTTTCAATTGTGTCATTTGAAAATTGAAAATATAATTAAAAAAAAGACTTGTATTAAAATTGAAGACAATAATAATAAAAAAGATCAAGACGAATAGCCTAGAGTTTTATTAATAAAAATTAAATAGTACAATTTGATTTACAAAATATTAGTAGAGGACCTAATCTACACAACCACCTTCTAGGAAGGGTTCTATTTGAATTAGACCTCAAATTATCATACTAATAGTTCATTGTACCAAGCAAGTCTTGTCTTAAATCATTTAAGATTTCCCTAGTAAAATGATTTGAAATTGGTTGATCAGCTAATTCCTCCAATGCATCAATGCCGTCGTCACTATAATCTTGCAACATTTCATCAATATCATTTTCAAATTTGGTAGGTAAAGCTGGACGCCCATAACTCCTTCTCTCAACATTAATCCAATCTCTAAATAATATTGATATCTCCAAGTTGTCTGTTGCTAATGACTATCTATGCTCTCCAATTTGATATCTTGTTGCACTAAATGTGCCTTCTGAAGCTACTAAATATGCTTGAATAGTCCGAGCCACCGATTGAAGTTTTGGAAATTTCTTACTGGGATTTCTCCACCAATCTAAAAGGTCAGGTAAACCTTGTGAATCCTTAATAGTTTCCGTACACTGATTAATATATGAATCAAAATCATTTTTTCGTCATGACTAAGTTCAAGATAACTTTCTAGTATATCATCAATATTATCTTCATTATATCTACACCTAGAAGTTTCAGGTTCTTCATTACATACTACATTTATTCTACAAGAATTATACAAGTCATACAATTTTCTAGCTTTAATTTTTATGTATCTTTAACTGCTTGACAACTAAGTATTTCAAAATCTTGAATATTTAAATTTAAATATATTTTTTCAACCATTTGTGATGCACCCACATCTTTGTAAGGTGGGTTTAAAAAACAAGCAGTTAAATAAATTTGAGGAATAGGAAAAAATATTTTTAAAATTTTTCAATCATAGACTTAACATAATCTTCAAATCTTGGTTTATTCTTGAATTTATAAATTTTACTAGAAATAGCACAAACATTTGGTAAAAATAGAGCAAATAGTTGGATAATAAAGTCCAGAAATTTATTTTGTAGCTAAATAAAAAACTTTTAAAAATTCTATAAGTTCTTTTATGTCATTCCAATCACTTTCATCAAGTCTATAGTCCATATTCGAATTATGAGCATTCCAAACCATTTGTAAATGTTTTCTATGTTCGTAAGCGACTTGAAACATTTCAAATAAAGAATTTCATCTAGTACATACTGATTTTGGAATTTTTTTAGGGGGAAGATTAAATTCACGACCGCGATTTTCAAATTCTCTACGTTTAGACTTTACTTTACATTTAAAAATAAAATGACATGCAGTTTCACATTTTATGTAACCATTACTATATATTGCTATACCATCTCTAACAATCAAATTATATATGTGTGCAGCACGCCTAATATAAAAACCATCAATATAAATAGAAAAAAGAGTCTATTTTAGTATTTCAACAACAGATGTATTATTAGAAGCATTATCTAGGGTGACACTAATTACTTTATCACAAATTTCATAGTTTTGTAAAACATCTAAAATAGTTTGAGCTATGTAACTACCGGTTTTATGCATTTCACAACATTTATAACCTAAAATTCTTTTTTGCATAATCCAGTTTTCATCAATCCAATGGGTAGTAATAGTGAAATAATAATTACCATTTACACTACGACCCATATCAGAAGCAATAGCAAATTTACAAGATTATAATAAAATAAATAACGAAGATATTTAAAATGTTGAACTTGATAATAAAAAATAGCCATTTTAATTGTGTTTCTTGGAAAACCTTTAAAATGTGGATTATACACAATTTGAATATAATGAATAAAATCGAAATTTTCAGCAAAACAAAAAGGCAAGCCCATAACAACAATCATTTTAGCTAATGCTTCAAGATTTTTTTCTCTACTATATGAGCGTTGTGTACTAGGGCGAGAAACATTAGAAGGGTTTAATGTTGATAAGACCATATTAGAGTCCCCTACTCCTACAGATGCATTAGGAAGGGGGGGGGGGTACCATTCTTTTTAGCCTCGGCGACAACTTTAGCATGCAAAAAATCATTTTTATAACATCTCATTAAATGATTACTCGAATGTCCTGTCCCACCTTGTTTTTCCACCGTTTTATGATTCATTCTATGTTTATATTTATTGCAAATAACTTGTGTTTTATCTTCATTTTGAGTCATAAATTGCCACACAACATATTTTTTAACACGTTCTACCTTGGGCCTAGCCTGACTAGGATATAAGGGGGGGGGAGCAGGAAAACGAATGGGAGCGGGAGCGACACTGAGTGTGAGACTAGTAGCCGTAACTAACTTTGTTTCATCATCATCAAAAGTATTAATATCATCATTAACATTATCATGTTCTACTT